GCGGCCACAATTTTGATCCAATTTGGATGTAACTTGAAATACATATTTATTACCCAACGATCTTGGTTCCTTTCAATAGTCACGCACATCGGATCATAACTTCCTGAATTATGGCCCTTGATTGTACGAAAAATCGCGTTTTTAGCTTGTGGTTCCTCCAGAGGTCACAATTTTTATCCAATTTAAAAAAAAACTTTTGAATATATCACCGTTACACCCTAATGATGGTTGAGTTTGAAATTCCGTGAAAATCAGACCAAAACTGCCGGACAAAATGGCCACCCCTCGTACGCAAATAGTGTATATATGTATCAAGGTTGTGGTCCCTCTAGAGGCCACAATTTTGATTTGATTTTGATGAAACTTGAAATACATGTTTATAACCCAAAGATCTTGGTTCCTGTTGGTATTCGCGCATATCAGTTCATAACTTCCTGAATAATGGCCCTTGATTGTACGAAAAATCGCATTTTTAGCTTGTGGTCCCTCTAAAGGTCACAATTTTTATCCGATTGAAAAAAACGTTTGAATATTTCATCGTTACAACCTTATGACGGCCGAGTTAGAATATCGTGAAAATCAGACCAAAACTGTCGGACAAAATGGCTGCCCCTTGTGCGCAAATAGTGTAAATATATGGTATATCAAGGTTGTGTACCCTCTAGAAGTCACAATGTTGATCCGATTTTTATGAAACTTGAAATATAGCTTTATAACCCAAAGATCTTGGTTTCTGTCGATATTCGTGCATATCGGATCGTAACTTCCTGAACTATGGCCCTTGATTTTACGAAAAATCGCTTTTTAATTAGCTTGTTCTCTATCCATCTCTTGCAAAATGTGGGCGTATACTGCCTCTCAGCCGCTGGTTATGATTATTGGAGTATTTATTAATCAATATGTAATACTGTTACATCATGCATGATTGTACTGTTATATCATGCATGTTTAAATCTATCAAGTCTTTGCTAAGATACATGTGCAATCATTTTTATGGTACACATATTTGAGTGATTTTACATACAGGTATCACTCATAATTAATTACATTTAATTTCTTGGTGAGGGTAATATTAATGTGTCGTTAAAAGTTGTAATGGATAGTTTCATAACTTATTTTGAATTTGTGAAATAAATGAAAATCTTGAATTATACTTACCATTAAAGAGAAAGTAAACCTGTCGGATGGAAATCTGCTATGTTTGTTGTGATTTTCTAATCTCATGTCATGTACTGGACTGTTTATTATAATTGTATTACTTAGAATAACTTTTGGTTCATTTATTTTAAGACCATATATAGTAATTCTGAGCTCTGTACCAGGAGTTTGCTGGTTTTGATCGATGTACCACAAATCTGTACAATTTAGAAAGTAGAAATCGGTTACGTTGTTGTCAGTATATTCAACAGCACATATTATTTGGTTAATTTGGTCACGGTCGTATGTTATTTTGATTACTGTTGAACCAATGTATAAAATTTTCTGTAAAAATAAAAACAATAAACTTATTTCAAATGGATTTAATTAATTACCTAGAATTTGGAAAGGAAAGAAATTTGAAATAACTTAAGAAGTTTATTATTCAATTACATTTGTCACAAAAATTTTCATGAAATGACAGAATATCATAAATATATAAACTACTGGGCAAAAGAAAGTTTACACTCTGTGTAAATGTTCCATAAAAAAGATTAAGTTTTCATTTAAACAATGAATATTTTATTGAGAGGAATAAGTTTCTGATGTCTGGAGCAAAAATCAAAACATTAACAATAGTGTAATGGCCACAAGCTAGGGTTAAAGATTAATGGTGTCTAGATAAACAATTACGCATACACACGAGTCAAGGAGAAGCCCTCGAATAAGTCCATATCCAGTCTGATCATTTGACAAGACACAACATTAATAGCGTGTGTGGCTGCCTTTGGCATTGATGCATGGCAAAACTCGCCGCCTCATGGATGTCGTCTTATGATATCATGGGGAATCCTTTGCCATTCTTGCAATAAAGATTGCTCAAGCTGATGTGGGTTTGGGAGAGGATATGGCCGTTGTCTCATTTGCCGATAAGATTCCAGAGGTTCTTTATTAGGTTTATGTCAAGACAACATGCTGGCCAAGGTAATGTGTGGATGTTAGCATTGTTCAAATAATCGCAAAAAGGTCAAGCAGTATGTGGTCGGGCATTATCATGCTGCAGAATGGTATCCCTGTGTTGCTGTTGCATGAATGGTACTGCCACAGGTTGCAGAACTTCATCTCAGTATCTTTGGCCAGTCATGGATGATAACAAGCCTTGTTCTCTGCTGGTCATAAGTCTCTGCCCATATCATAAAGCCACCACCATAAGGATGAACATCTTGAGTGCAGTTAGGTGCCAGTCTCTAATCTCTACGACAATAAACACAAACCCAGCCATCATTTTTGAACAGGTTAAATGTTTTACTGAATTATGTTATAGAGACTTACTTGTACCTCAACCATTTTGACTTGTGCTGTTGTTGATCTTCAGTTCTAGCACTAACAAATTAATATTTTCATCCAGAACCTTCTTGAGATTCACAATCTATGCAATGATTACTATTTAAAACTTGGTTTTCCCGATCAGTTGTCCCATTTGTCCAGTCTTAATAAACCAGATAACGTATATGGTGTTTAAAACTTGTTTTTTTCCCAATCAGTTGTCGCATTATTGCAATCAGCTATTTCCATTTTTGTATTATGTTCGGACTTATAACTATGCAATTTTCTTTCAAAGAATTAAAAGTGAATTAAAAATGTATAAATTGAAACATGGCCATCATGTACAAAGAGACTCTTTTGTTGCAAACTACAACAAGCACTGGAATTTATTAAGCAACATCAAGTGTTCTATACATATAGAACGTCTTCAGCTGTAGCATTGGCTTTTCTTTTCCAACTGAACATAAACACTTACCTGGCAAAAATGATAAACATGTAAGTGGAAATGTAAAAATTCTTAGAACAGGTTTTTAAGCACAGTCATTTAATTCAAGGAACATGCATGATAGGTATAATTATAATATTATGGTTTAAATACATTGTATACCAAAACTAAAATCTGGAGAAAAAAAAAGATTGTTTTCTATGTACATTATCAGTTATTTTTTGGGGGGGAGGCGGGGGAGTCAGAAACTGGGTTCCAAGTGGGAGCCCCACTTCGAAAAAAAACCACAACCTAAGGCTTCGCCAATTCATGTACAGATGAACATGAAATTGGCATGCTTGTTTATACTGCATCGATTGACAAACTTTGATTTAGAATATTTCTGCAAGATGGCTGCAATGAAATCATGCGTGGTTCCTGGTCCATACTGTACACTCCTACTTGTTTCATAAAGAGGAGATTGTATTATCTATTCATTCACATTTTCACATGTAATTGTATTTTCTATTAATTCATATGTAAAGGTTGATCTTTCATATTGACAAATTGGTATAAAATATTAAAATAAATTGTGAAAGGATGCTATTTTTAATGGAAGGGTATGTGACAATCAAGCTGTGTGGTCGACATGTTCTTTGTTATACCTGTTTTACAATGCACCTATATGTCTATTTTAGAATATACACATTTTCGAACACTTATGAACAATGTTAACAATCTGTTTCTTGAGTGTCATGGCCTTCTGTGATTAGTGTGATTGCCATTAGAAAGTGTTAATAAATCTTTTGGTGTCATTTCCAGTTAACTTCTTTTCTTGTAGGTTGATTATTTAAAACTAGAACTATAAAAATAGCAAGTTATTGTCTGAGAAAAACAAGAAATTTATTTTTTTCAACTGATGTTACTAGCTAATTTGTTAATGGAGATCTAGAAAAGTTGTACCAATTTGTTAAATTTCACAAATTGTAGTAAGAAGAATATACAGTTTATTGGATATATATGCACAAAAACATTTCTGACTACTTAAACATACATTATGCAAGAGCTAAATCTGCCTATTTCAGGTCTTTCTTTAGGCCTGAAATGGTATCTAAATTATTAATTAGACATTAATTAACCTATCCAGGCCATAATCAACCCTAGATGGCAGCGCTAGCCTGCGATCTTTAGTGGATTGTAAGTCAATTTCCTGCATAACTTTCCTTCTCGATTAAACGATTAAATGGATAATCGAGACTGTGCTGTTTATCATACTGACTTTAGTAATGATGACCGAGGCTTATGGGAATTTCTCGGTTCATAGTGGATCAATTTGAATGAAATTTTCACCAAATTGCCTTTACATTATCTAGTTTTTAACTATTATAGTGAGAACTGCCAACTCGTTACCGATTTTCCCATAATGTATCTTTAACTGATCTACACGTATCTCTAGTAATACTAATTTGACTCGTGTCACTACTATTTGTCCCCTGCTTTTTGAGGCCCAAATGTGCAGAAATATTGTTTAGAAGTAACCTATTTGCCTGTTTATGATTGCCATAACAGTTTATAGAGGTGACCTAGAATGTTCTGGGTTCAAGCCCAGTTCTCACTTGTCAGTCTGTGGGGCTGACAAAGAAAGCGTGCCTAGTTGTAAGGATGCCACAAAAAACCTTCCCAGTTGGAAGTCAAAATGTCACTGTCCGGGCAAAAACTCGCCTCCTAGCATTGCACATGTAACTGTAGAAATAAAAAGTAGCAAACATTAAGTCTCAAAATGACTGAAGTATTGTGTTGAGTAGACTTTAAACCCTATGCTAGTCCATTAAATTTTATTACTAGCTGGAGAAGTTTCCCGGCACACAGTGATTACTAGTAAGGAAGCTCGTCTCCACCTGACAACTAAACCTTGGTATTAATTTTGTTTGAATAAGTATCACACAAATAGTTGCTTGAGACGAGAATAAACGGTTACAAGCTTTCTTCATAGATTTAATCAGTTTTATTCTGTAAAATATCTAGGATTTCTTCTATAAAATAATGTATCCACAATTAATTAATTGGAAAATGGTCCCTTGCTTGAAAACAAAATTCAGTCATTGAGAAGCTGTGCTTTGCCTGTGCTATTCTATGCAGTCTATAGAAATTCAAAATGATTTAATCAGTCAAAATTTTACCAAACTCATAAGATTTTATTTGTAATTTTTACACATTGATAAATATTAACAATAAAAACAATATAAAAGGATAATTGAAATTACTTGTACATAAAATGTTTATTTACATATGTCCAATTTTAAAAAAAACAAAATTAGCTGAATTTATTTTTATTTACCCACATATAAATGTATTTGGTAATACAGTCTTAAGACCAACTAGAAATCAGCCAGATTTCTTCAAGTTTGGGAATGTGACCTCAAAGGTTTGTTGAAGAGAATCCTGTCATCATCCTCTCAAAGACAATAAATTGTAGCCCAATTATTATCTATTCAGATGGTGTATTGTATAAGTGTCATATTACACTGCTCTATATTTAGAATGTAAAACTAAAGCTAGATGGGTTTGGAATCAGATTCTATGAAATTTGAATAAGAGAATAAGAAAAACTAATCAAATTAAACACAGAAATAAACAAATTTAATAACAATTTAATAAAATAAAAAAAAAAATGATTCAAATATTACATAATGTAATAATAAGCTTATTAATTTGATGTAATATCTACAGCAGCTTGTCTAAGCCAGGGTATAAAATATCTTACATTATTTTACTCATATACTTTGAATTGATATTGACCAATTTGATGTTAACCAATTAAATGATTTTGGAACTTTTTCTTGTGGATATAAATATTCATAAGTAAAACAAGGGTTGTTGAGCACATTACGATTGTATAACTCTTGCCAATTATATATTGATTTCTATAGAAAGGGGTCAATATCGAAATATTAATGGCCTATTGATCCATCGTACAGTACTATTTACGAACTTATCAATTATCAGTAAAAGAAAATTTGATGCAAAATTATCTATTTTGGTGCAAAAATATGAACATTTACTGATTATTCACATACAGGGAAAAGGTCACCCCAAAACAATCTACATGTATTTGTTATTTAAAGGAGCTAAATCGCTAATATTTAGGACCTAGAAATTGACACAATGGTTCGCAACACAAATAATAATGTAATATGAATGTACATAAACTGATTTAGTATTTATTGCGCATTCTCTCCAGATAGGAATATGACGTAACCGTTTGAGTTACTTGTGGAATATATCTAGCGCCGTCCTTCGAGTCCCTTGTTATAAATGGCACTTAAAGGCATTCGTGAACCAATGGTAAAATGTTTATTTTGTCTTACAATTTTATGGAAGCCTATAAGTACCATTCATAATTTCTACTTTTCGCCCCTTCAAAACACGAAAGTCGAAGAGTGACCTTGAAAGTAGAGACTACATCAACTTCCGAGACGAAAAGACAACAGTACGACAGCAAGCCAAAATCAAAGGTCGCTAATATCGCCATCAATACTAGACTTTATAAACTATTTTGTTAACGCGAATTTATTGTCAATGTCAACAAAACAGTACACCTTTAATAACGTATTATAACAATATTACTTATATTCTCTGTCACCACAGAGTTCTTGATGTGGAAATTTACACGGAAATATTTATTTATGGCTAGGGATATGATATCATATCTTTCTTATCTAAATTACATCCTGCTTATTGTTGATGTATAAGCAGGATCTAATTTAGACAACTTTCTTAAAACAATTGTTGAGTTGGCTAAAGTGCTTATTTCTAAATTCAATTTCTTGTTCTAGCTTTCTGTTATGTTTCGTAAAAAAGTAGTCTTGATTATCCCGACCTGTTAATCAGAAGTAGAATGGTCGATCGACTGGTTAAGCAAGGCTAATTTCAAAACAAGGGCACGTAACCTATCTTTTACTCAAAAGTGTCTGGATGTTATGGACGACACTTGGAACCGGTTTTCAGTCTATTATTTATAGATGATTAATGGTCATAGCTTATTAAGTACAACCTGATCGTTTATTTAGTGACTATAATTGTGTGAAACTGATTTGAGGCTTGGCATATATATAAATATTGTGGCGTAATTGTCAAGATATTTGGAGATATTTATTTATGGTGGGTCACCCTACAATTGGCTTGAATTTACATGTGTTTATGTATGTCAGAGCAGGGAATAATATCAAATAATTACTTGATGGGTTGTATCTTGGGTTCAGAGGATTTGGCAAGGAAAACATCTAGTCGTCCAGAAGGGCAAAAATTTTATATTCTGGAAGGATTTTTAGGGAGATTACAAATGGCGCAAGAAGTATTTTTTGGAATTCCTTCTGGTCTACTTTGTCCTCTACTTCTAACAAATGTTTCTAGGAAACCTGATTTTGATCTCATTTCATTGAGGTTGATATTTTCTGTGTACAATACCTCAACATTTGAGGATGAGGCTGTGCGATACCGGCCATACATTGGATCATAATACAAGAATTTATTATCATTAATATCAAGTTTGATAAGTCTAGGTTTACAGTAGACATCTTCTACACTACCAGGTTTGGTTAATACCAAGGTTATGTAATGGGGTCCTCTCTGTGTCTTGCAGTAAAAATCTGCGAAATAAATATTTGATGTAAATGAATTTAATAGGTATTGTGGTGGAACCAGTATACGATAATCACCAAAAGGACTTATCGCAGGTGGTAAATAAGTACTTCTATCAGCCGTTGCACTGAAGAATAATCCTTTGATTTTCTTGTTTATACAAGAAGCTTGGTCTCCATTATTGTCTTTTATATATTTAGCCATGATTCCTGTTTGCCTTGCTTCTATTATGGTAGGATGGTTACTAGGTTTATTTCGATATAGATAAGGAACGGGCATGGGTGTTTCTTCAGTGGCTAATAACGCCAGTTGGTGTAAGTTGTTCACATCAACCATTGTATTATCTGAAAGTATAAATATTGAGTCAAATATAAATAATGATTGTTTCACTTCTTGAAATTATATTCTTTATTAGATGTTATGTAATTGGTAATATGAGATAGATATTGATAATTAATATAAAACCAATAATAGAGACTAAATAGAGATATGCAGAGGTTGAAATTAACATTTAATTGACTTCAGTAACAGAGGAACTATTATGCTCTTGTTCATGGTCCAGATGTCTATTTTCCCTATTTAAATTTTAGAAAAAAAAGGATTGAAGATAAAATCTAGACCATTAATCAAAGAAAAAAACCCTAGTTTAATTTGATACTCATTGATAGATAAAACACAAGACACGAGCAATCATTAGCGCACACACAAACATGTTTTTGCACTAGTAGAGTGCTGCTCATGCACATAGTTGTTACCAAACTCGTTGCATTTTGGGTCAATATTTTAATTATTTACAAAACAAGACGCTGTGGTCTGAAACTGCCACTGTAAACACACGTCACCCAGAGATGCAAATTCTGTCGATCAATGTTTTGTATGTCACAATGAAAACACATCAGGTTTTGTCAGCACGCAATGTCAGGGAGTTCACTGTTTTATTTTTATACGCCCACATTTTCATGTGGACGTATATTGTCGTCACCCCTGTCCGTTCGTCCGTCCACAATTGTTTGTGGACACTCTACAGTTCACAATTTTTAACCGATTTTGACGAAACTTGAAATATTGGTTTATCTTCAAAAGATCTCGGTTGGCATGTATCGGATCGAAATTTCATGGGTTAAGCAGTCCTTCATGTTTATAATATTGTGCGGGAGCCATAAAAAGCTCCTGATACTTGAATATATGCAGTTTAAAAGTAAACAAAAACTGAAAGTAGTTTATTAATCTCAATATTTAGGAGAGCGATTTAGCTAATTTGCAGAGTCTTTACTGACTCCTTCGAAGGAAAGCTGACGTGCGTCGAGATGGAGCAGGAGCGAAAGCTCCCCTTAAACGTGAAGGACTGGTTATGGCCCCTGATTGTCAAAAATAAGGTTTTTAACTTGTGGACCCTATAGAGATCACAATTTTAAACCAATTTTGATGAAACTTGAAATGCATGTTAATATGTAACCCAAAGATCTTGGTTCCTTTCAATATTTGCGCATATCGGAACATAACTTCTTGAATTATGGTCCCTGATTTACGAAAAATCACCTTTTTTACCTTGTGGTCCCTCTGGAAGTCACAATTATTATCCATTTTAAAAAAACATTTGATTATATCACCGTTACACCATAATGAAGGTTGAGTACGAATTTCGTGAAAAAAGGACTAAAATTGGCAAACAAAATGGCCGCCGCTTGTACGCGAATAGTGTAAAAATATGGTGTATCAAGGTTGTGGACCCTGTAGAGGTCACAATTTTAATCCTATTTTGATGAAACTTGAAATGCATGTTTATAACCCAAAGATCTTGAATCCTTTCGATATTTGCACATATCGGATCATAACTTCCTGAATTATGGCCCCTGATTGTACGAAAAATCGCCTTTTTATACGCCACATTGAAATGTGGTCGTATATTGTCGTCGCGTCTGTCCGGCGTCCACAATTGCTTGTGGACACTCTAGAGGCTAAAGTTAATATCTGATTGACTTTAAATTTATACACAGTGTTTAAGGTCATGAGACGAAGAAGCCTATTGATTTTCAGTGATTTCCAATAATTACTGCCAGAGTTATGGCCCTTGATCACTTTGAAAAATCTTGTGACGCTCTAGAGGCTAAAGTTATCATCCGCCTGACTTCAGATTGATACACAGAGTTTAAGGTCTTGAGATGAACAAGTATATAGTTTTTCACTGAATTTTTATGACTTGAACAGCTAAATCCATGATGTTAATAGTTTCGTATACCAAACGTTAGCATGGGGCAGAACTTTATAAAAACCAAACAAATTCTATTGGTTTTCTGATAATTACTTAATGAGTTGTTACTCTTAATCAGATTTTAATGTATTAAAAATGTTTCATTACCGAAAAAAGTAAAAATATGCGACAACTCTTGTTGACTGCCCGAACAATTTAGCTGCTGTGGGCATAATTTTCGTTGCCTGGCAACCTATCTTTTAGCTTGTGGTCCCTCTGGAGGTCACAATTATTATCCTATTTTAAAAACCGTTTGATTATTTATCACCGTTACACCGTAATGAAGGTTGACTCCGAATTTCGTGAAAATCGGACCAAAACTGCCAGACAAAATGGCCACCGCTTGTACGCGAATAGTATAAAAACATGGTATATCAAGGTTGTGGACCCTATTTTAGGTCACAATTTTAATCTGATTTGGATGAAACTTTAAATATATGTTTTTATCATGAAGATCTTGGTTCCTTTTGATAATCACACATATCTTCCTGGATTATGGCCCCTGATTGGTCAAAAAATCGCATTTTTAGCTTGTGTATTCTCTAGAGGTCACAATTTTTTTTCCAATTTTAATAACCATTTAGATATATCACCATTCCACCATAATGAAGGTTGAATTGGAATTTCGGGAAAATCGAAATGAAACTGCCCGACAACATGGCCTCTCTTTGTATGCAAATTGTGTATAAGTATGTAATACAAAGGTTATGGACCCTCTAGAGGTCACAATTTTTATCCAATTTTGATGAAACTTATAAAGCATATCTTTATATTCCAAAAATCTCAGTCCCTTTTGATATTTGCGCATTTCAGACCATATCTTTCTGGATTATGACCCCAGATTGTACAAAAAATCGTTTTTGTTTGTAGCTTGTTCTCTATCCATCTCTTGCAAAATGTGGGCGTATCCTGCCTGGCAGCCGCTGGTTAACCATGTGCTAAAAAGGGATTCCAAACTCACCGGTTTAAATTGATAAACAAATGCAATATCAAACTTTGATATACCAGATAACTAATAGGCTATAGGTTTTTACTTTTAAAAAAGCATATGTACATTTCCAATATTTGGTTCAAACCTTATTCAAGTGGAATTGGCTTAATTGCTCGCTAATTGCTCGCTATCATTTTCTTCGTGGCAAGCCCTAAAAAGAATAGAACAAAATTATATGTTCTTAAAGCCAGTGTTTATTATATACACTTACAGTAATTTAATTCAAATCCATTCATAATTAATTGAGAGGCAGAAATATAGACTTCCCCTAAAAAAGACTGCCAACACACTCAATCACCTAAACTCCAGTGATTGAATTCATTTTAGCCATATTTATTCTTTTATTAACATACATGTATACCGGTACACAACCGGGATGGGTACTCATGACCATTTTGCTGATTTCTTAATCCCCTAATAAACTAAAACGATTAACATCTTGGTGCATCATTTTAACTCTATTTGGATCACTTGCAAACTATCATAATGTAACAAATGAATCTCTAATAGTAATATCAGACAAAAAAAAAACGTTCAGTTCCTTTCAGTATTTACAAAGATGTGTCCAATTGAAGTTTCACCAATCTAACCAACTAGACATTTATTGATAGACTTGTTTTATATCTGATTGAATCCATGCTGGGACATTATCTAAAGTTGATATTTTGATTATCACACACATATTCACATTTTCTTGGTAGCATAATTTCCAATCAAAGGGTTATCATTTGGAACAAATCAAATCAAAAATAGTCCTCTAAATTCCATGTATTAGTTACCTATGTTTTATTTATTATTTACAACTTTGCACATGCATGGGCGTCACACATGGGGGGGTCCCCCCCCCCCCAATTGTTTTTCGGGGGGGGGGGGTATGTCTGAATATACTTGGACCCCCCAAAAAATTTACATAGTAGGCCCAAACTCCTATTTATTTACAACAATTATTAGGATTAGTTAAGATTCTATCTGTATAAAACCTGTACGTATCCCAATATGGTTTACATTGCTAAAATAAAACACAGAGAAAATCATCCTGGAAACATGTGTGAAGTGAAAAGTAACTGTGTTCCATAAAATTGTGTCTAGTTAGCCTGTCAGTAATATTTTGTTAATTTTTATCAGAGTGAATCGCATGTAGGTACCCAAAAACATTATCGCCTAAACCAAATATTTATCGCCCGCTCAGCCAGCAACGTAACCATAATGCTTTTGCACGCGGTGTCTTGGTAGACAGAATGGCCACATGATGTTTGTTTATATTTTTTAGGGGTTTTAAAAATGAGTTGGGGTTAGGGTTGCGGCCCCCCCCAATATATATTTCATGGCTACGCCTCTGTGCACATGCATATTATACTTTCTCCATACAGTTTGTTTTAAATGTTTATTAGAATATGTTAATTTCACTAAATAATAAATTAATTGGCACCCAACTGTTGAGGGGATATTAAGATTGTTGATTTGGTAATCAAGTTTAGTTTGTAGATCATCAAAGAAGTCACCACAGCTGTATGTGCGTTTTGTTATCTTCCTCACCCAACAAATTAAAATCAGGTTTATCTGACTTATGTTGCATTTGAATACAGTCATTTGATTGTAACCGTATAATTGTTTTATACTTACGAGTAATGAACTGTGATTTTTTAGAAGTTTTCATAACATGATATTTATTACCAGAGGAAGATACTCTATAAATCTTGTAATTAACAGCCTCTCTAGATGGTAGATTTACACATGGTATTTCATTGGTATAGGTGGTTGTCAACTCAATATATTCATTGTAGCTTGATACATCATTAGTGGAACTTGTTGTTTGTATTATCTGTATATAAGTTTGTTTTTGCCATCTTTGACTACTTTGGTCTCTTCTGAATACAATATTTTGTTTACCGGAGAGAACATTAATTCGTTGATCAACATCGAATTTGATGTTGTCTTCCTAAAACAAAATTTAAGAATGTCTACAATTGTTCTATGTATATAAAGGCATTTTATTTAATCAAGCAATCTCTGCCATTATGATCAAAAAGATGTTGCCTGAAATGAGCATTGTGTGATGAAACTTTTTACATCTGATTTTTGATAAGTGTTTTTGAAAGCTTGCCTTAAAAAGGGTTTAAACTAACCACTGTTAAGTTTTGAAATAAACTGAAGATCTGTGTATTTGTTAATAAACTGTAGTTTTTACTGTGTTGCTGTAAAACCATCTGAGGTATCTGCTGCTGTTGAAGATTACCACAAACAGCACTCAGCAGTATTTTTGGTTGACCACTTTTCAGTCCAAATATATTTATCTTTAGTTCTGCTTCAGTATCTACATGTTGAGCAATTAACCAAGAATCAGTTAGTTTTAAAAAGTGAAAGTCAACTTCCTCTGTGACTGTATTTTCGACCACACAGATGATCATATTGATTTCATAGATTAGTGACCATTTTACTTGAATGAGCTTCTGACAATGAAGATGTTTCTGTCAAAAATATAAATGTCAGAATATAAATAGAATTTCATCTTCTAAAATTGTTATAATATCATATCTCTTAGAGAAAGTGTTCTGACTGAAATATTTAGGAGTAATTCAGTAATCTAAAAGAAAAGAAACACTTCAGTAAAATTGAGAATAATTTGTTAAATTTGCTGTGGTTCCCCATTGCAAGAGTCTAGATAGCAATGATTCTACCTATTCCTCCTTGAATTCTGTCAAGGATTCTTTTGCATGTATACTAATATAAATAGTCACACTTATTTTGTTACTCTGATTGTTTAGTTAATATTATATTCACGTCATCCTATTCTAGAAACAGTTTTATGTAAGCATCAAGTTGTTTGTTACGGTACTCGGTTATTTATATTATTCCCTTTATAATTAATCTGAATAAATACGGTTTAAATCAATATGTACATTGGTTAACCATTCTGTATGTATGTGGATGACAAGGCAACCATGCAAACAGGCTTGAAAAACTCGGAATGTGCTTCAGCTGGAACACTCTTTTCAAAGGTTCAGTTCCTTAACCACTTGACTACTATGGCCCCAAATGATTTGAAGTCAGGAATTCAATGTTTTTATATGGAACCACTGCTACAACATGATGGGAGGTAGTCATTCCCTTTCTCTTTTAAGCTATTTCTAACAATAAGTAATTGATTATACGTACCACACATAATTCCATGTTTGTTTCAGAAATATTTAATTTAAACTGATGTAATGGTAGAACATTCTATTTTATATGCCTTTGGGTATTTCCAACTTCTAAAACAGTATATTATCAACATTATTCTGTCTTTTAGTTCGGTCTAAGCGGCGTTAATAAAATCAGTTGATTGACTTTTTTATACAATCCATAATAACTTATCAGTGAACTACATTAGTGCACCACAATTCTTGAAAAACAAAGTGAAAGTAGAATTTAAAATTTCTGAGAACTGTGATGTCATAATGACCATCTAAATGGTTATGTTATGAAGATTTTAAAGTAGTAATATTATCATTCCATATTGAACTCAAATCATGTCCAGTCTTTACATTAGTGGAAAATCTAATTATGTTATGACCATTTATACCTCACTGTATCCAAAAACCACTACATGTGGTCAAATAAGCCTTTTTATACGCCCTTAATCACTTCAAAAAATCTTGTGGACACTCTAGAGGTCAAAGTTAATATCCGATTGACTTTAAATTTATACACAGTGTTTAAGGTCATGAGCCGAAGAATCCTGTTGATTTTTAGTGATTTCCGATAATTTTTGCCAGAGTTATGGCCCTTGATCACTTCAAAAAATCTTGTGGACGCTCTAGAGGTTGAAGTTAATATCCGATTGACTTTAAATTTATACATAGTGTTTAAGGTCATGAGACGAAGAAGCCTATTGATTTTCAGCGATTTCCGATAATTACTGGCCCTTGATCACGCTCTAGAGGCTAAAGTTATCATCCGATTGACTTCAGATTGATACACAGAGTTTAAGGTCTTGAGACGAACAAGTATATTGATTATCAATGAATCTTTATCACTTGAACAGCTAAATCCATGATATTAAAAGTTTTGTATACTAAGCGTTAGCATGGGGCAGAACTTTATAAAAACCAAACAAATTCTAATGGTTTTCTGATAATTACTTAATGACTTGTTACTTTTAATCAGATTTTAATGTATTATAAATGTTTCTTTACCGAAAAAAGTAAAACTATGCGACGACTCTTGTTGACTGCCCGGACGATATAGCTGCTGTGGGCGTATGTTTCGTTGCCTGGCAACCTATCTTTAAAAATCATATGACTCTATTCTCTGTCTGAAGTTTACATAAGACAAAAATGGGTATAAAAGCACATGAATGTAATTTGAATGTATAAAGTGATTTATATTCAATTCTAAAGAAAGAAATTTTATGCTAGTTTAGTCCATCCAAGATTATTTTTCTAATATTATTTTGTAGTTTGTGAATCAGGCATTATTAATTACTTCTGCATTTGTTTTGAATTGTCCATTACAAATGGCGCTTGAAACCATAATAGAATACACGACTCGTGTACTGGATATAGAATGTTTATTGTGTCTTAAATATAAGATATTAGGGTCCCGTATTTTCATGGTGAGAAAACAACATTATTATTTATTGATTGAACAAGATAGATATTGAAATTTAATTTGTATTTTGAAATTTGAATATTATAGAAATTATTGAGTTACAGGTTTAGCCCCTTTAAATTACCATACTTGGCAACTATAAAAAGCGTGCTTACATTTAGTGATGTTATCAAAAGATAAACAATGGATATTATTTAAATGAGCTCAACCTTCTAGAACTTCTATATTAATATGTATGATTAATATTTAGAATTATTAAAGATGGCAGGTTATTCTGTTATAAGCTTATTGTTATAAGCTTGTTGTCTTGTGACATAGTGACAAAAACTGCTGTGTTGTATTGATAAATGTTATTGTTTATAGACCAGATTTGTAAGTTAATATTTATACTATCTGATCAGATATGGGTAGGAGATGTGAGATTGATTAGTAGGTCTATTCAATCTCGTTTCCTTAAATAAAGACACATTGCCTTTTGCAGGGTAGCGTCCAATGTAATCCCTTAGCAAAACGTCCTATAGAATACCAGTGTAGTTTTCTACAGAATTCTATAACATTGTTACTACTTTATTATGTAGAAAACTATAGTAGGCTATTTGTTAAAACAGTGTTAGTACAGTATACATATAAATTCTACAGAAAACTATAGAAGGCTCATCCGTTACATTTTTCTCCACAAAATCTGTAGAAAAAACTGACTTGAGACAATAAGTTAGTTATATAGAAAACTGCAGTTTTTACCAGCAAATATATAGGAACCACAACTGACTTGAGAACAGGGCTGGATTGGGCCATTCGGGCGATCGCCCGAAGGGCCGGTCGAACAAAAAATGAAAAAAATAATTTTGTCCCATTCGTCTAAAAACCCTTTTTCTGCTGAAGATTATATGGGGGGGGGGGGTATTGGACAGGCCATGGAGCGATGATAATCATGTTGTATGTGGCTGGTGGCTTTAATGGGCCTCCATGCCATCACTGGAGTCTGGAATGGGCTGATATAATAGATTTTCTGAGCCAGGTGTGCTGGGTGTGAACCTGGAAGTCAAATTTTCTCAAGTAGTCCCATTTTTTAACCAGATATCTCAATCATGATCAAAACGTATAAAAGAACTTATTGTAGCTTTTCCAGTACATTAAAATGAAAGTGAAAGTAAAGAATTTTAAAAAACACACTGACTAAAACACTTATCTGTAGCCTATTTTTCATTAAATCTATGTTTTATGTATGCAGTTAAAATGTTTTTGGTTAGCGGGGGTAATTCCTTTTCTTTGCCTGGTGGATAGGGTTATTAAATTTCATTTGGATAACCTGGTGGGTAGATTATCTTTTTACACCCATTGTAGCTTTTCATGATACACTTTTAATACGTAACTATATGAAGAAAAACTTTGTACTTTTGGAGCAGACTAGCTCTTGTTTTACATGTACTCTGCATATGCCTATTGATGTGGAATGGTCTGCATATTGAAGTTGTCAAAAAATATTTGTCATACATTATAAGGTCCATGGTCATGTTCAAATTTTTACAATTAAATCCATATGAAGAAAGTGAATCCACAGTTGTCAGCTATCTGTACGTGAGAAGGAGAGGAAGAATCTTTCACACACAACAAGCACAGATTAAGTGCTTTAATGTATTACATGTTCCATCCTTTTGAGACAATGGTCAAAGTTTCCATACTTACCCTGGTTTTTACTTCAATTTAATTCTTATTTTATTTTATTCAATCTGACAACTTTAACCTTGTAAGTTGTATATAGAATGTGCATTTTACTAAGTTAAGTTTTGATAAGGAGAGTTATGCCCCTTTAACTATTAGCTGTAAATCAGATGCTCACCAAGTAAACATCTTAAAATCTTATAAACATCTTGGTACTTAATAATAATAATAATAATAACTTTATTTTCAAAGGGTTGAAAATTAGGCCAGGAGGCCTGTCTTACATTTTGCCCTTTATAACAGAGGTTAAAGAAGTAAAGTTAATAATTTATTAATATTTTACAGGGTCATCTAAGTTGTGTAAACTCTCTACGATTTAGTCCCGATGGTAAATGGATAGCATCAGCTGGAGAAGATGGTATAATCAAGGTATGTATTGATACAAAAACTATATTGAGTTACAAACTTATGCTTTTTTGAGATACAATTAATTGAACTATTTCATCAATAATGCCACACCCAAATTTGAATTCGTTGGCTTTTTTGGTAGCTGCCTTGGTAATAGTCAGACCACACTGTTGAATTACTGGATAATGAAGACAAAACACTGTGCTAACAATTTGATAACAATCTACTGTACCCACATGTATTTTCCATGTACAGGTCACAATTCTATGGAATACAATTACTGATTATTACTGAGAGATGTTTCAACTAGGCTTCTCTAGTCATTATCAAGCAATGATAAAGTATGAAAATATAACAAGACAATATATATATATATGTTGTTATTCATTAAACTTGTATAATCCTTAATTAAGTTAGGTTCCCTTCAAGGTAATTAGAAGGGTATCTCTGGTTGACCAGCATTAACCAAGTATTGTTGTGTACATATTGTCTTGTTATATTTTCATATTTTATCATTGCTTGATGATAATTACCAGAGAAACCTAGCCGAAATGTCGCTCAGTAATAAGCAGTAATTGTATTCCATAGAATTGTGACCTGTATATTCCAGTTTAGTTACTAAATGCCATTGAAACTATTTATGTATTTTCCAGTCTAAAGCCAATCATATTGCTGTAATAATAGTAATAGTCTCACCAGTAATGTTACCAAACATAGGACCAAGGGAAGGCCAAGATACCCATTAACAAATTTTCTTTCCTGTATAGATATTTAAAATGCAAATTTTTTGCAGAGCTGCAACATAAACATAGTACTCTATTTTTGTTCAAATTTAATCCCATTTTATTTTCGTGGCTTTTTAAGCTTTGGGACTTAGCAGCAGGGAAACTAGTAGCAGATCTCAAATTACATCAGGGGCCAGTCAATGTGGTAGAATTCCATCCAAATGAAGTACTTCTAGTCTCCGCTAGTAGTGATAGGTAGGCTAATTATGTTATCAATTAAAACGGTTGATTCTTTCATTTCAACTTTACTTTACTTGGTTAATCAAGAAAATAGTGGTAAATGCTTTTTATCCACATGATTTTCTGAACAAAAGTGTTAATATATTGTGTATATTTGAAATATTAGTGATTTGTTGAATAGTAAATTATTCTCAGATTATATTAGAAGTTCCCTTGTTATTTATTTAGATAGTTTGTCAGTATGATTGTAAAATAACTCCCTTATTTATTCTTTATTGGTATCACAATATTAAATCTTTTTATGTTGCAGAACTGTCAAATTTTGGGATTTAGAGACGCTCAAATTAATAAGTTCATCTCCAAAAGAATCTAAGCCTGTTTGGTAAGTCAGTATTATTAATGGTATCTTGTATATAAGAAATATGTTTTTAAAGTTAATGGGAAAGAAACCTAAAAGAGTATCTGCTATCTGGATCCTTTTTCCAAACGTACATGTTAGACTGGTGTACATGTATGTAAATCTAACATTTTACTATCCTTAAAGGCCTAAACCTATGGAATCTGTCAAAATTAAACTCATACCACCATTTTTTTCTATTGGGACTGTGGGGTGGTGCCATTTACTCCACTTAATCTTGGTAAAAACTCTAAAAGATATTTCTTTATACGGTACTTTTTAAACACTTGTTATAATTGTTTGATTATCCAGACATTTGATTGGTCATCTAATCTGCTGTGATCATAGGGCAAAGTGGAATTTTCTTTAATATGACTTAATATAGTGACCAACTGAATAAACTGATTAAAAGAGATTTAATTTGATTGCTAATGAACCTAGGTATACATAGCTTTACTTAATTGATGTTTTGTGAAATGGTCATCGTGAGAAAATATGAATTACAGTGCAGTCATGCTCCATGCTCTGCGGATGATCAGTCGAACATAGAGCCTAGCATTAGCTGATTATTATTCTAGAATGGTGTGTGGCCACTATAGTATGGTCACCGTTTCCCTAGAAGAAAAATTTCCCAGAGATGATCTTTGTTATAGAATTTATTTTATTGGTTTTAATTATTTATTTTTCAGTGCCATGTGGTTTCATCCTGAAGGGAAATGTGTTTATGCTGGAGCAGATGATAGTTTAAAAGTGTATGGTTGGGAACCATATGAATGTTATGACTCGGTTCCATTAAACTGGGGAGATGTAGCAGATATAGCATTTAGACAAGATCAATTGGTAATATATAAATCATACAGCAGGGTTTAATAGTTGGTGCTAAAATACTCAATTAAAATATATACTGTCATGATGAGCAACCTTTACCACACTTAGGTGTTGGCTGAGACACTTTCCTCAGTGTTTTACAACCTGCTTTCCCCTAGTCAGTAGTGCAAGATGGCTGATCTGGCAGGGAAAAGTGTCTAGTCCTTCAGATGGGTAAGAAACAAGATCCTGTGTATACCATTGGCAACATGTTAAAGATCTCCTGACAGTTTAGAATTAATACAAGAGTAGCCAAGAATTTCCTCATAACACACTGCATGGGGTATATCCATCTTCCCTAGCTAAGTTTGTGCTGCAAAGTTCTTTAAACCCCATATCATTTCCTTTCATTACTTTAGACTTCATAGTACAGTGTAACTGTAAATTATAAGCTCTGATATGTCCATTATGTTTTGTGAAACATAGGTATATATATATTTACATCCCACTTCTACTCGTTGCCACTGGCAACCTTTGATAAAACTGTCCTGTTTAATTGCAATACATGCTTAAAAGTATCCGTGTATCAGAAATGTACAGAAAGAGTACTGATCATTTCTGATACACGGATACTTTTATACCGTTTTAGATATCTATCAAGCAATAAGTAGCGGACGTTTAGTCCGACCCAGATCGCAATTGATAACGAGGCTCTAACCAATGTACATGAAACAACTAGTCAAAATCATAGTAACAAAACAAAATGGGGGGAACTACATGGCAGTTCAAAAACATATACAATGACATTAAATTAACATAACAACATATTACAAAAATCAATTATTATACATACCAATTGGCATCTATTTCATAATTTGGTTTGATTTATATTAATATGCAAAATATATAAATTAGAATATTGAATAATTATTTTAATTAATTGTGATGATAGAAGGCGCAGTTCTCTTGCTGGACACTTCACAGGCATTGAAAATAAGCAGGATGAAAAAAAAAACGCCTAGAAAGTCATAAACTTTATTACAAATAAATTTCAATGGAAGAACCATCCGCCGATGCATACTTTCACCAGGAATAACCCACGTTTCGCATTTCCTTTACACTACATTTAATAATATCGCAGTCCTCTACGCCATAGACATTGTTTTGACGATGTGGTCTAAACAAACACGTGATTGTATCATAGCAAGACGCACGTGTAAATACTACTCAGGTCGTCTCTCCACTGCGAAATCATTCTACCATGAAATGTAACGTGAGGCTCAGAAAGGGATAAATAATGAAAGAACAGAAAGTATTTGTCACTTTCGGTTGAAACGACTCGATAATAAATACTATTTTTCACATTTTGCTTCACAATACTCGATAGAAATGTGATGTAAGTAACTTATTAGCACCTTATATCTGGGAGCTGCCTCGGCTGAGCCCCTCGACCAAAACTGTCCTGATATTCACCGATACACCTCGGAAAGTGTGCTAATAACTACTATATATTCTATCAACTAAAATTTGTTTATGATAAATTATATTTTCTTGGCTTTTTTCAGATTGGTGCCTCCTATTCCAAAACCAATGTAGCAGTTCATGTTGTTGATATTAGTGTAGGTTTAATATTCTTCTTCTTCACTAGATTCTTCATTTAGCACAATTCAAGAGAACCAGCTTTGAACAAATAGTAAACCTAATTTTCTTTATTTATATTGATCTGTTTTAGTGAAGTATGTTTAGTATTTGTTAGTAGAATAATTGATGTTTATATTTATATTATAGCGAGTTCGACCAATGGGTGTAAATATAGAACCTGATGTTAGACCAACCTTTTCTAGAAGTGGTAGAAGAAGTTTTATGTCAGAAAGACCATCAACACAATCTACACCACAAGCAAGGTAGAGTTCACAAGTTAATTAGAGATTATTAATATATTCTTCCTATATAAATAAAGAAAATGTAATAATTTAGCAGATATTTTATCTGGTTATGTAATAAATGGAAACCCCTTTATGGTTTATAGTTAATGGATTCGCTTGTCATTATCTAACACAATACAGACATATGTGATATTGTAATAGAGAAAGATTTATATACAATCAAAAATACATAGAAACCTCAGAGTATGATAGGTTATGATTGTATGTACAAAAGATCCCTTGGTAGATGAAACATTGCTGTTGAGATAAAATTCTTCAACTCACATTGAACATGTAACAATAGAATTAGAAATAGCAAGTGTTATTAAAACTGTGACTGGCAATAGATATCCTCTAACAGTCTCACATAACAACTTTTGGTCATCTAAGGAATTGTGAGCAGAAATTTGCACGTGTATCTGTTATCACTGTCACTTCAGTCAGTTATATAGAAGGATAACTCGTTTTTTCCTTTTGTGTTCGTCACTTCCTTTTGTAGAAACCTTCGTTACGCATCTATTGTAGCAATGATCTCTGTGTTAAAATTATATTTGGAACGTGTTTAACCAGTTCTATCACATATGTGATAATGACTGGCACCAATATTGTCCTTTAAACTGACCTAAGTAAAGAGCAAACAAGACTTTAAACTGACTTCAGTAAGTTTATGATATCAACAGCACTATTTCATTGACTGACTTATTTACGTGTATATAGAATGTCAGAAGAAGATGCAGAAGAACAAACCAGTGTAACATCAGATAATACACCAGAAGATAATCAATCATCATCAGCTGATATACAAAATCAAGATGATTATGCAGCTTTATTTAGACCTAGATCTCGATTAGGTTAGTAATATATATACTGGTACTGACAGCATGTATCATACAACATTGGTCGTACATAGCAAGAGCATGTGATGATTTTCATAAGACCTTGGACCATGAAACTTAATTTTAATCAACTTTACAATTTTTCTATTTTGTTATTCATCATATGCCTAAAATATAATAGCTTGAACATATCCACTGGACCTCACTGTAATGTGGGTTTCAGTATAGGGTAAAGCCTAATAAAAGTTTAACTTTCTTCTGTGAATGTTCAACTTCAATGACAATTTCTAAGATGACAAATATGCTCTTGTAAAATTGTCAGATGAGCCAATGCCAAAAATTCTCCTCAATAATGGGAGAGAATGGTGGGAAAAAAAACTTGAAATTTTTACTGATCCAATATGTCTTTGAGATCCACAAATGTTTAAAAATCAGTTTTTTTGCCGTAAAGTTAACCTTTCCTGTGTACTTTTAGAAACAAACAACGTGGGTTTTATCTATCAACAAAAACAACTCTTATAGTGAAGATCTTGAGTCTAATATCAGGGGTTATTATGTAGGGAATATCAGTAGACCCCAACAGTCTTGTATTTTGGAATATGTTGTAACATGTCAATAGGAAAAATTTTGTCTTTTGTTGTCTTTAATATTACATTTTGATTGCTAGTAACAAACATTTGAAATTTGTGTAACGCTTGAGTAGAGAAATAAATAATTCATGGTCCTGGACCCTGATTTATAAAAAAATTACAAAGGCATCAGTCTATTTTACAATATGTTTTAAATTTGTTTTTTGTGAACATTTGCATTCCTCATTAGAATAAATATTATGATACATTTTCTTTTTGGAATACATGCATTTGACATTTAGTTTATGTTAATAAAGCATTTTACTACATGAACTGAACTAGAGTTTTTGACACTATTTTAATGTTAGCTGTTTTGTGTGTCTGACTAATTTTGAAGTGTGATAGTTTTGTGTGCATAATGTAGAGTTGTATTGTAACTGTGTGTATTAACTATATATTTGTTGCATGTTATTACAGCTCGTTCTCCTACACGTGTAACAGAACCATTTCAACAACCTTTAGATGATGGTAAGATATTATAACAACTAATATACAATTACAATTACAATGTAGACCCTTTACTAGATATCTTCAATGTTATATCGGATTAGGGCCCAAATTTTAAAACTCAGTTCAGAATGTTTTCATCCTGTTTTGATTCTGAATCAGGGGATTTCGGATTGATAAACTCTGAAATAAATTACCATCAAAATACATATGCTTCCTCCAGGAATTGTATCCAAATGTTCAACCCTATGCACTATGTATTATAGTATTTTTTCACTTTAATTGCAAGGTTTTTTTTCTGAAAATTTGGCCGTCCAAACTAAAGGATACACATAATTTTTTTATTAAGTTTTAATATAGATATTGGAATTGATGTTGCCAGTATATTATGTAGTTTTTATTTCTAACATATTTGGATTTGGAGTCTATTTCTGTTAGGATTCTGATCCAAAACAGTTTTTATTCGGTCCGGAGTGAGTAGGTATCTGAAAATTAAAAGAAAAATAAGATTTGTTTTAAGGGGAAAGTGACATAAATGTGTTGACTTACAAAAATATTGCTCAACTTCTATTGTACAAAACATAATATTTTTGTATGTAGAATTACTTGAAATAAACTGTTTTATGGGGGATGGTAATCTGTCTAAGTCCAAAATATTACACCCAAAGATAAACTAATGTTGAGGTATAGTCAACAGTTCAAGACAAAATTGAAACTAGAATTAGCATTTATTAATCATATAGATCTTGTTGTGTCACAAATAGAAATAACAGATGAAATCTACTCAATTAAATACCTGTTTTGGCCTGAATCAAAGGGTTAGATCCTTTAACAGATACCGATACTTGCTTAGGTCAATTAAAGATACATTATGGGAGATTAGGTAAAGAGCTTGCAGTTCTCACTATAATAGTTAAAAACTAGATATTGTAAAGGTAATTTGCTGAAAATTTCAGTCAAATTGATCCATGAACCGAGAATTTAGCGATTGAATTTTTGGCCTAGCCTTGATCATCATTACTAAAGTCAGTACGATAAAAAACATTAAATCATGAATGAAAGTTGAGCAGCAAATCGGATTCTAATCCAGTAAATATTGCAGGCAAGCGATGACATCATCGAGAGTTGATTATGGTCTGGATAAGTTAATTAATGTCTAATTAATAATTTAGATATCATTTCAGGCCTAAAGAAAGTCTACCTGGAATAGGCAGATTTAGCTCTTGAATAATGTATGTTTAATATAACTAAAAAGAATTTTTTTAATTTTTTTTTCAGATTTAGAAAAAGTACCTGTTAAACAAAATGCACAAAATGATACAAAAGTCATTCCAGACCGAGGTAGAGCATTAAGTAGAGATAGACCATCCCCGCTCGATGTCTCTGATGATGTTGAAGACCCACAGCGCCAGTTAACCCCAGAAGAGAAATATGCACAATTACAAACTCAGGATGAACGCAAACGAAAATCATACACAGAGAAATTAAAGGTTGCTGATAAACAAAAACAAGTTGATAAACAGCGACAGGCAGTGGAAAAGCAGAAATCATTAGATAAACAGAAAGAATTTGACCGACAACTAGAAGAGAAACGACAACTAGAAGAGAAACGACGACAAGAACATGAAGATAGACAACGAATTATCGACCAAAAACGAAAAGAAAAACTAGAACAGGAAAAAGCAGAAAGGAAGAGTCCACCGAGGAAAACTTTAGCTGCTGAGGATTTCTTGCCAGTTAGTATATTTGATTCCGTTCTTCTTGTCCAGTAGAAGATGTCTCATAAACACATTTAATTCAGACATAGATTGTTTATGTTAAAAACATTTAAAAATCAGTCCACAGGAAAGTCTACCATTTGACTACAGATTTTAAGTCATAAAAATAAATCTGATACAAGGTGAAGAAAACTTGTCATTAAAATGATGTGACTAATGCTTGTTTTGGAATACAATAAACTGTTTTTTCTCCAAGTTTCCCCAAATGCTAAAGACTGTATGTGGGTGTTGAGTTAATGTTAAACTCCCCACTGTTATTCTTAAGGCACAGTTTTCTCTTGTCAGGGTGTTCTAGTCATTCAGATAAAAAGAAAAACTGAGATCCACCCGAGTACAAATTGTCAGTTAGAATTCGGAGAAGGGTATTCTGAAAATTAACATATGTTAGTCTCAAAATGACCAAAGTATTGTATTGACGAGACTTTAAAACACTCTCTTTTCCTTTCTTTCCATCTACACTGTACATTATCCAAGGTTCAGATTTATGTTGATTGGAAGTATAATTAGTCAGACTAGAATTAAAAGTTTACAAGAAGTTAAGCTGTTGCTCACTAGATATTCATATTAGCTAATCATTTAAATATATTATGTTATTTTGTATTTTTCAGCAACATGCTATAAGTGATCATAATGCTCCAGCTAATATGTCTGAAGATGATTCATTTGCATCTATAGAAAAGGGTCATACAGCTATGTTAACAGTTATGTCTAGCAGAAGTAGAAATATACAAATAGTTAGAGCTATGTGGACATCAGGCAATACTAAGGTATATTGTATAACTACAGTGGACTCTGTCAAATCCGACATCGTACGGGATCGTTATAATATGTCGGATTATGCATAGTGTCGGAATACTCAGTTTTCTCAAAACCGGAAGTATTATTGTAACTTCGAAAACCGGAAGTATTATTATAATGTAGCTTCGAATCCCAAGAACGTTATTCCCTTTAAAAATGATAAACTTTTCTGTACATTCAAAATTTTAATACATTAATTTTTATTTCATTTAACATGCGTAGGCATTTTGAATAGGTCAAGTATGTCGATAATTTATCTTCTTCGTCGTCTTCAGTTGTTCTCACACTTGTCTTTGACATCTCGTGTTCATAGATAATCATGTGTTCTATGTCAAGGTCGTCGTCACACGGTTCTGAGAGATCCAGAGGGTGAACAACCTTAGGTTTTCCGGTTCAATTGGCATGCGCAACAAATGTTTCCAACAGGTGCTAGGAATATTTTTACGACTGAATTCATGAGAAAATTCGTGGATATTCTTGAGTATTTGTCACAACTGTCTTACAAGAGATTATAAAATTATCAAAGTAATCAACAAAGACTTACGCTAGTGAGTTTTAACCTCACCCATAATTGATTGGTGAATGCTTGTTAATCTTTTGTGGCTTCACAACCACCGATTAAAAGCCGGATTATACAATGTTGATTCAATGGAAATCGTGTGACGGCTGATTGATGCCGTAATTCGGAATATTCAGAATGCGGATTACCCAGAGATTTTTGGGCGTAAGTAATAAGGAAATAAATCGGGACGTGAAAATGATGTCAGATTTCACAGAGTGCCAGAGAAATCAGAGTTCACTGTATTATATGAACATTAGGATCATATTAATATTTATAGTGTAACATTGTAAAGCAACCATGAAGTATATTATAGACTGTACAAATATGTACAATTAATAATATTTTGTGTTGTAGACTGCCGTTGATTCAGCAATAAGTATGAATGATCCAGCAGTAATGGTGGATATACTCAATGTACTCAATTTTAAACCGTAAGTTTGATAGAGTTTAAAACAGATTATATTATTGCTTTATTTCAACAAACTGTTGTAGAAACCTTGTTTTAGTTGTATATACAATGAAGTTGATATTCCCCAAGAGCATACATGTTTTTTTGGCTTCTGCTCCTATACTCTTTGATATATCAATACAGTCTGCACAAATTTAATGAATTTGCAAATATTCTCATCACTAATCAAACTCTTTTGATGTTGTTATTTATTGCAATGTTTACATTATACAGGACATTATGGTCATTAGATCTATGCAATATATTATTGCCACAACTGAAGGAACTTTTAAATAGTAAATATGAATGGTAAGGTTTATATTAATATGTTGTATATGTAGATCAATTTTTTTACTGGATTTGAATCCGATTTGCTGCTCAATGCTCATTGATGATTTAATTCAAAAATGGATAATCGAGACTTATGTTTTTTATTATACCGACTTTGGTAATGATGGTCGAGGCTAGGCCTAATTTTCAAACGCTAATATCTCGGTTCATAGTGGAGCAATTTGACTGAAATTTTCAGCATATTCCCTTTACATTATTTAGTTTTTATACGCCCACATTTTCATGTGGACGTATTATGCCGTCTCCCCTGTCCGTCCGTCCACAATTTGTTTGTGGACACTCTACAGGTCACAATTTTTATCTGATTTTGATGGAACTTAAAATGTAGGTCTATCTCCCAAAGATCTTGGTTCCTTTTGATATTGGCATGTATCGGACCATAACTTCATGGATTATGGCTCCTGATTGTTCAAAAAATCACGTTTTTAGCTTGTGGACACTCTAGAGGTCACAAATTCCACCCGATTTTAATGAAACTTGAAATGCATGTGTATAACCCGAAGATCTTGGTTCCTTTCGGTATTCGTGCATATCAGATCATAAGTTCCTGAATTATGGCCCCTGATTGTACGAAAAATCACGTTTTTAGCTTGTGGTCCCTCTAGAGGTCACAATTATTATCCAATTTAAAAAAACGTTTGAATATATCACCGTTATACCATAGTGTTGGTTGAGTTTGAATTTCGTGAAAATCGACATGAAACTGCTCTACAAAATGGCCGCTCTTTGTATGCAAATTGTGTAAAAATATGTAATAAGAAGGTTGTGGACCCTCTAGAGGTCACAATATTTATCTGATTTTGATGGGACTTAAAACATATCTTTATATCTCAAAGATCTCAGTCCCTTTTGATATTTGCACATTTCAGACCATAACTTTCTGGATTATTGCCCCTGATTGTACAAAAGATCGAGTTTGTTTTTAGCTCGTTCTCTATCCATCTCTTGTAAAATGTGGGTGTATCCTGTCTGGCAGCAACTGGTTAACTATTATAGTGAGAACTGCCATCTCTTCATCTAATCTTCCATAATGTATCTTTAAAATAATCATTTGTGCAGGCAGTTAGAATTGTAGACTTTAGACTTGTTTAATGTTAAGATTCTGTCTGTCAGAATTGATTTCTTTTATCACAAATAAAGTACATAAAGTAATTATTTATAATAGGTTGTTAAAGTGTATAATTTTATTTACAGTTATGTGTTAACAACTTGTACATCATTGAAGTTGATATTAAAGAATATGGGATCAGTTATCAAGGCTAATATACAAAATGCACCAAGTATAGGTGTTGATATATCTCGTGAAGAAAGGTAATTATATTTTTAGTCAAGATTTACCTCAACTTGAAATATTCATTGTCTTACATGCACCTTTAAACTAGTGAAGGACTTGTAAGGATAAAAAGCGACAAATTTATAAATCTTCTAAAAATTGCTAAATAAAATTTTATTTGAATAAGTATAAATCATATTATTATTATTCAATTCCATTGAGCGATCAATTTTAGGGATGTATCATTATATTTCTTAAATCTTTTAATTTTTGAACTTAAGTTTAAAAACTATACAAATTTGAATGTTCAAATATTTGTTTGAGAACTAGTAATTTTATATCATATCTTTTACAAAACAGATCAATTTTCTGTATACATAAGATTGTTTTAATTGATAGATGATTGGGTCGCTTGTTATAAGAACAATAGAATTTCTGATACATGTATGTCCATTTTTTGGTAATGATTTAAATATAGAATAATATGTTGTATACGATATGATTCATCCATATTACTAATCATGGAAATGATCCATTCTATTGTATTTTCAGGCATAGAAAGTGTAATGAATGTTATGGCACATTGATGGCTGTACGAACCATAGTAGAGAAACGTCAGTCAAGTCCAGGGAAGTTAGGAAATATGTATAAACAGATCCAAATATTAATGGGGACACTGGATTAATTCTGTGAAAAATGTTCTGGAAAGAAAATTAAGTGAGATCTGAAGGCTATTATGAATAGACCTTGTGCTTAACTGTTCACTAATTAACCAATGACAGCATGTCTCTCTTCAGATTGTTTGAAAACCTTGTGGATTTCTTTCCTTTGCTTCCATTGGTTGATAACCAGTAGTGATGACTGTTCATGTATAATATTAAGGATGGAGTTTGATATATTTCCAAACTGCAGCAAGACATTCCAATGTTTCAACAATGTCAGCAAAACATATCATCAGTATCTTCATCTGTTATCATTATATACATACAGCTTATATATATCACATCTCTATGTATATATATATATATATATATAATAATAGTATGTAGTTCTAAATACTTACTCCTTTGTATTTATTCTACTGGTATAAGGAAAAGATGGTGTGTTTTTATATTCATCATTTTTTAGTTTGGAATATTTGATTCTTTGAAGCATTCTAGATGTGACTTTACCACTTGGACATATATAGTGATATAAACAATGGAATTTGTGTGTGAAGAAATAAAAAAAAAGTGTGTTAACAAATGTTTTCTGTATTGAAATGGACCATCTTTCTTATATTCAAAAGCACTCTGAAGTTCGTCCATACGTATTCACTGGGTGGCTTTATACCTCTACTTAAAATAAACTTTATCTATAAAGTGATACTTTTCTCTTTATTTTCGTGTGACTAATTAAGAAACAAATATAAAATTTGTTGCATAGAAATGTAGTTCAATATGAAAGGTTGTAAAAATGTGCTAATTTAAGTGTTTATATTTCAAACACAATCTTAATCAGCAGTAAGAATTATGATTGCTCCAGCATATATATATATATATATTTATATCCGCTTTTATTTTAAGTGGCATGAATTAGTGCTTGATCTATCTATCTGTTACATTTTTTTATATTAAAACATCATCAATTGTTATTATTTTGTATTTATTGCTTTTGGTAGGGTACCCCACCATAAATAAATATCTCCAAATAGCTTGACAGTTACACCACAATATATACATACCAATCCTTAAATCTGTTTGGCACATTTATAGTCACTAAATAAACGGCCATGTTGTACTTAATAAGCTATGACCATTTAACCATTGATAAGTAATAGACTGAAAAATGGTTCTGAGTGTCGTCCATGATATCCAGGCATTTTTGAGCAAAAAATAGGTTACGTGCCCTTGTTTTGAAATTAGTCTCGCTTGACCAGTCTACCGACCATTCTCCTTCTGATTGACAGGCCGGGATAATCAAGACTACTTTTTTTTCGAAACATAACAGAAAGCTGGAACAAGAAATTGAATTTAGAAACACGCATGGTAGGCAACTCAACAAATGTTTTAAGAACCTTATAAAAGTTAAATGAAACTACTGCTAGTATCATGTTCCAGTCTAACCCAAGTTTTTCAGAGATATTATTTGTACTAAACCAAAAGATGCTGCTCATAACGGTATAGTTAATGATAAAGCAATTTAAAAAATAAAACGAAGGTAATTTCTAAAGCTGTGTAATAACCAAAAAAGCTAAATATTACTGCTATTCAGAATCGTCAACAATAGATTTTTTATGCCTGTAATAGTTGATAGATGTGTTGAGAATTTCACCTGCGATGGCTATTTATAGACTCGAAGAGAGTGCATGACTAGGCAGAAATCACTTTGAGACAAGCCACTGAAGTGTGCACGTTCACTGTGTCGAGTACCACTTTTAGTTGGGAAAATTTTCGGTACATGGGGCACCCTACTATTGGTGTTGTGACCATTTTATAACCATATTGGAGTAACCTCCCTTTATTTATCACAGAATGTGGTAAAAAAAAATTCTGATTTTTTTTTTTTGCAAGTATTAACAAATTTCTTTTCATTTATGGTAGGGATTGGGATATTTTAAATTACCAAGTAGTGTTCTAAAAAAGAAATACATTATTACAAATGGCTGCAATAATGAAAATAGCAGAAAAAGCATTATGAACTTATTTTGATTTGATAAAGATGCAGATGGGGGTTTTATTAATCTTTGATTGAGGTATTTGTCACCTCAGTCTAATGGAGATTATGAACATTATTAAATAAAGTAAAAGTAAAGGATAATATTAAATACCTCTGTATGTCATACAGGCATTTCTGTCTGTGTTAAACACTCTAGTCTGTAGCTTGTATAATATTAATATTTAAACCAGCTTAACATGTCTATGTTAATCTTATTACACCATTCTTACTATAGTTTTAAATATTAAATAGATTCTTCTCTCACTACTTCACACTTCACATCTAATGCATACTCTTTCCAATTTTTAAAAAGCCTTTCTTTATAAGAACTATGTATTTTAATTGAAGATAATCACAAAATATACATAGTTGATTTCAAAATTTGTTGCTTTGTGGATAGTCAACTTGATCTGATTCACTGTTAATACATGTGTATGGTAGGAAAAGAAAAATCTTAATACTTTCAACCTTAGAAAGAGGGCAAGATATTTTAATTCAAACCACTTTTGTAAAGAATGAATGGTTCAACTGATATGTTAAATCTATTAGTACTGGTACATGTAGTTTAGACAAGCATGTAAATATAAAAGCTTTGAATTAGTGGTACTATGTACATATATCTTATATTTATTATTGATCAAACTATAACATTTTGATGGAAAGCATATTTCTTTACAATGCAAAATTATAATGGATAAGGGTTAGGTTATTTTTTTATAATCACTTTCAAATAAAATGTATATCTGTTTATATAGTCCGAAAAAATGGTAGCCATTTTTGTATTCCTTATTTGTTAATTAAACAAAGATGATCTGATTTCTTTTAAACTGAACTCTTGAGATTTGGTCTCCTTGTTCTACTCTATAATATGTATTTGTAAATTTCTAAACATTTAACTGTGTAAGATTTGAATACGACATAAATGTAGGTTTGAGAGAAAACGATTGATTAAAGCAATGCTAACTGCTGAATTTTTATACATGTATCTTTAGTGTGCTTCATTATGACTGTGATAACTTGAATAACCTCTTGTAGCTTTTTCATATGCAAGTAAATGGAGGGATGGAAAGGGTGGGGGGGGTGAGGGGGTTTGGGACTTTATATAATTTTTTGTTTAAAGGCATTTAATATGAAATTGTACAGGTTTTTTTTATTTGAACAATATATAATCTAGTAATATTTCATACATTAAAATCTTTATTTGTACAGATGTTGAAACTTTCTCATACATAGTGGTTGGTTTTGTGCTTAATTTGGTAAAATTAGGTTAAAAATTTTAATAATGACAGAAATTGCTCTCTATTACATCTCAATTAGTAGGGTGTTAAACCAGAATACCCCATTTCATTCATTCTATTACGAGTTGTGTTAAAAATAGATCAGTTGATTATTTAGGATGTCAATGAATATAAAATGGGTCTTTATGTGTTTATTACTGGAATATGGGCAGAACATGACATCTTTGTGAAAACTGACACATAGTGAGATTGGACAAGCTTAATCATAAATTCCAGAAAGTCTGTTATAAAAGTATTACACAAGAACAGTTGATTGTTGGACAGGATTCATCTAATACATGTATAGTAAATCCTTAATTAAACCAACCACAACTTAGCAGAAGATGAATAAACATTTTCATTACTTGATTTGTTGACAAAGTGAAGACAAAAATGTTATTTATTATAATTAATAAAGTCAGAAATAATGATATAAGTTAGATTATCAGTCGATTAATGCCGGAAGAAATTTCAAACAATTTACCTTGTCTCACGAAGTGTCATCATCATACAGACCTAATTAATGTTCTCTCTTTTTTTTCTCTTTTTTCAAGCTGAAATATGATTATTTACTGTCCTGTGACTAATCTTGAAGGGTAGAAAATTTACTTGAGATGATGTTGCAATAAAATCAAATACAAATATTTGACAAAAATTATTTTTTATTATTTCCTTGCTAGTGGTATAAAAGGAAATGTATATCATAATATAATGATATATTTTGTATTTTTTGGAAAGATAATTTAGAGTTCAAGGATATTTTGAATTGGTTATAGATTGCATTAATGTGTGAGATCCCACTTGATTTTTCGCAATTTTTGTGTCGAAAAAGGGTATTTTAGAAGAAAATCCTGCACAATTTGGACAAAATTAACACATTTTCCACTTTAACATTAAATATTTTGAGATAAATATTGATTTATACCTGTATATATGTAACAATTCTAAGTACCGGTATATCTTTATTTGATAATAATGATACATCATTCACAGGAATCAGAAAATGAACCAAAAGCAGGCATAAAATGTATACTTAAGTATCTATTTCAGTTTTTAGAAATTTTGTTGAAAGATTACTGAAAATATTGGAATTTATTAAGTTTAAACAAAATTGTTGGTTACTGTAAATTATTTTATATCTTGGTGTATGAATATTTAATCTTTATACAGAAATTCATTTATTTTCAGAAATTGTCTCATCCATTTTCATTTGATGTATGCTATTATAAATATATTTCCTGTGTCGGCCAACTAGACATAAATATAAAACTGCTGTACCAAATAACATTTTTTAATGAGCCTTCAAGATCAATATTTTAGAACAATTTCATTAGTAAAATTGGACTATATTATAAATATTGAACATGTCATCAATTTGCTCTAAAATATCAGATTTTACCATTAAAAAAAATGTTAATGGAATTACAAATGCATTAGATAATGCAACTGTTAACATTTATTTCAAAGATATTTTTGATATGTAATAATACATATATCGGTAGACTTATTTTGTTATTTGAAGTTAATTTGGGTAAATAATTGGACTACCAAACATGTTTATTAATTTTTATAGGATCAACTTGCATTGTGACCGGATATTGTTGTCACCCCTTTTTGTCTATCCATCCGTGTGTCTGTCATCCACTGAACGCCGCAGAGATTAAAGTTATCAACTGATTGCCTTAATTGATTTTTAACAATTTCAACAATAAAATTATCTGATTACTGGTACATTTTTTTGTATAATAAATGTTAGCACTAGAAATGATAATTGCTGATGGATGCTCTAGTTAGTATTTAATTACCAACAAAAGAATAAATATGTGACAACCTTTTCGGAGGGCTTTTTATGATTTAGCTGCTGTGGGTGTATGTTTATTGAGGAGGAATCCAAAATTTTCATGTATACTTAATATGCTCAATATCTGTATAATATAGATTCTATGCTTGGTTTTAATCCATTAACTCATTCTGTAAGATTTACAGGGTCTAGATTTTTCTTCTCTACTATGTAGCATCTAATTTGGGGAAACAGTCTATAATTCCATCCTATGTAATAACATATATGTGCACTGATTGCAATAAAATGTGTTTCTCAAAATAAATTATGTCCTTTGTTAATAACAGGGAAGGAAATAGTAAAGTGGTTAGCAAATTACTTCTGCAGCCAAGCAATCGTGGGGTCTCAAATCCTAAATTGTGTCCTTGAATAAGACACTTTATAACTCTATTCCAGTCTACCTATTTGTAAATGGTTACTGTTAAAATAGTGCTGGGTAAATGTAATAGAGCATAATGACATTAAAATTACATTACTATTGTTCTTAGTTTCCTTGGAAAGTCTACCACTGTTCCCTAAGCTTATTTTTCTGAATTAGGTGGATTTCAGTTTCCCCCTCAAATTCAAAGAATTATAAATTGTTGGCCGATAAAATTGCTTGGGATTTTTCAGTGTAGATTCCCGATGTGAGTGGGCCTGGCAAGGGACAACGTGGAGTTGTCCGGATGGGATGGAAAACCAAGGTCCTGTGTCCTGTGTAGATGTAGGCATGCACCTAAAGACCCCTTGACAGACTAGGCAGTAACACTTCTGTCCAGGCATAATGTCCCTTCACAGCACACTGCATGTCCATTTTCAATAGCTCAGTTGGTAGACAGAAATGTAGGACGTTAAACCCCATGTTCATCATAGACAGGTGACCAAGCTATGCATTTTTAACCAATTTTTCAGGATTAACTTTCGTAGTTATGTGCCTTGTAAATAAATTTTATTAACACACTGGAGGCTGTAATAAACAAATTTATATAAGGTTTCCATAAGAGGAAGATTCCTATTGGTATTCAACAATTTTTGATGTGAAATTTATATTTGTGGCCTTACAATAGAAGGGTATGGATTTTCAACTATTTCCAACTTTCATTTTTGGAATTAAGACTCCCTGTAACACAGGAGATAACAGTTGGGAATTTTGTAATAAGATTGGTTGCCAGGCAATGAAACATATGCCCACAGCAGTTCAAGTTGTCGGAAATCATTGAAAATTATGAGGCTTCTTTGTCTGGTGAACATCAACATCTTGTATATATATTTAAAGGCAATCGGATGATAACATTAGCCTGTGGAACGTCCACAAGATTTTTACAAAGTGATCAAGAACCATAACTCTGCAGTAATTATCAGAAATCAATAGGATGATTAGTCTTATCAACTTAAACACTGTGTAAAAATATAAAGTCAATCAGTTGATAACATTGGTCTCTACAGCGTCCACAAGATTTTTTAAAGTGATCAAAGGCCATAACTCCGGCAGTAATTATAGGAAATCATTGAAAATCAATAGGATTCGTGGACTCATGACCTTAAACACTGTGTCTAAATTTTAGTGTCAATCAGATGATAACTTTGGTAGCTAGAGCCTCCAAAAGATTTTTCAAAGTGATCAAGGGCCATAATTCTGGCAGTAATTATCAAAAATCATTGAAAATCAATAGACTTCATCGTCTCATGATCACAAACACATATAAATTTAAAGTCAATCAGATAGTAACTGTAGTCTCTTAAAGTGTCTACAAGCAATTGTGGCCAATGGACTGACTGAGGGGGTGACAAACATCACTAAAATTGTTGGCAGACTTTGTTTGATTTGCATTGGTTGGATTCCCTAGTGCTATTATATTTTCACTTCTTACCATATTCTAATACTAGTAATCTGGGAGGAATTGTGAAAGAGAAGACAAAAAAGTATATATTTAGACATAATGATTTATTAACAGTATATCTGGTGTATTGATGATAAAAATGATCGATGACATAAAGTAAATTACACACATCATTTGGCTTTGATTACAATGATACATGACTAGAACACCGGCTTATGGACATTAACACTGTAACAAACAGCTACAAAAAAAAGTAAGCTATAATAACTTAAAATACTATTAACAATAAGCTCATGTACATTGTACATTATATAATAACTACTGTCTGGCCATTAACAAAAACTGTCTACTAACTTTCAATCTTAAGAAATAAAGCAAGAATTTGCAATGATTGAATTTCTATTGGTTATTTTAAAGACAGATTATTATAATGTTATCCTCCACCAGTAGTTTATTGTCTTCAGACATCCTCAACTATTCCTCATCCTCAAACCTTATAAATTAAAGCAAGAGGTACTATAGCTGTTGTGATGTGAACATTGACTACTTGAGAGTTACTATCAATAGACATGAATAACTTGATTTTATATTTTTGTTGCAAGAAAATTTAACTAGGCAACCTTATTAAATTTACACAATTGATAAATTAATTAAATAACCTCTTCAAAAAAAGTAGGGGATATTCTGAAACATTACAAAACTGCTGAAATGCACTGCTGTTTTTATTAGAGGTAACCAGTGTATGTTAATAACAGTCCAATTGCCTACATATGAACATAAACAGTTCATATAGGTGGCTTATCTGACGGCCCCATTTCACTCGCAAAGAGATACACTGTCAAAAGTGAAAATTGACGTTTTTTATTTTTGTCTTAATAATGAGTAATTGCTCCACCAATCCTCAGACATTCAGCAATTCGTGGTGGCATGCTCCTAATCAACCGTCCAATCACGATTTGGGGCAATCTGACCCACTCCTCTTGCAGTACCACGGCCAATTCTTGCAGTGTTGTCAGTTAACCTTGACGTCGACAAACACATCTCCTGATCAAATTAAAGTAACACACTAAAGCAAAGATAAGCTAAACAGTAAATCTTATGCAAGTACCGATAGGAAAGCAACCATGGATAGGATAAACCAGAAAGCAGCAGTTTTCATCTACCCTCCCTTGAAGTGTCAAATTTGACATGTCGCACATGCAGCTCAGTGGTTCTGTTGGGGAAATAAGTTCTTCATCTGTGAACATACTCTCAAAGCATGTCAAGAGTCCATGACTATTTATCATATCACAACCTGCATACTTATTTGCATTTCAATATCCCCTACTTTTTTTTTTTAAGAGTATATATTAAGCAAAGCAGATACATAAGCAACAAAAAAAATTTTTTTTTTTTTTTTTTTTTTTTTTTTTTTTTAACTTTTAGCTTAGATCTATATATTTTTTTCCTCTTAATGAATAATTCTATCTTGATCTTAATTTGTAATCTATCCGTGAGGAAAAAACATCAATATATATACATATTATTATGTTTTAATATTGCACATTTCTCCAATATATATTATAAGAAAACAAGCGATTGCAATGCAAGAATAGCCCATATTTGGCAAGAGATAGATGGAGAACAAGCTAAAATAAAAGTGATTTTTCATACAATCAGGGCCATAATCCAGGGAATTACAGTCCAATACACACAATTATCGACAGGAACCCAGATCTTTGGGATATAAACATATATTTTAAGTTTCATCAAAATTGGATAAAAATTGTGATATCTAGAGGGTCCACAACCTTGGTAGTACATACTTTTACACTATTTGTGTACAGGGAGCAGATATTTTGACGGGCAGTTTCGCTCTGATTTTCAAGAAATTTGAACTCGACTGTCATTATGGTGTAACAGTGATATATTTAAACATTTTTTTTAAATCGGATAAACATTGTGACCTCTAAAAATGCAATTTTTCATACAATCTCGGGCCATATTTCAGGAAGTTCTGGTCCGATATGCACGAATATTGCCAGGAACCGAGATCTTTTGGTTATATACATACATTTCAAGTTTCATCAAAATCAAATAAAGATAGGTTGCCAGGCAATGAAACATACGCCCAGAGCAGCCCAGAGCAGCTAAATCGTCTTGGCAGTCAACAAGAGTTGTCACATATTTTTACTTTTTCAGAAATGAAACATAACACACTAAAATTTGATTAAGAGTAACAATTCATTAAGTAATTATCAGAAAATCATTAGAATTTGTTTGGTTTTTATAAATTTCGGCCTCATTCTAACGTTTAGTATACAAAATATTTAATATCATGGATTTAGCTGTTAAAGTTATCAAAATCAATTGAAAATCAATATACTTGTTCGTTTCAAGACCTTAAACTCTGTGTATCAATCTGAAGTCAATCGGATGATAACATAAGCCTCTAGAGCGTCACAAGATTTTTCAAAGTGATCAAGGGCCATAACTTTGGCAGTAATTATTGGAAATCGTTGAAAATCAATAGGATTCTTCGTCTCATGACCTCAAACACTGCGTATAAATTTAAAGTCTGGCAGTAATTATCCGAAATCGCTGAAAATCAATAGGCTTCTTCGTCTCATGACCTTAAACACTGTGTATAAATTTAAAGTCAATTGGATATTATCTTTCACCTCTAGATCATCCGCAAGATATTTTGAAGTGATCAAGGGCCATAACTCTGGGAGTAATTATGAGAAATTGCTGAAAATCAATAGGCTTCTTCGTCTTATGACCTTAAACACTTTGTATAAATTTAAAGCCAATCGGATATTAACTTTAGCCTCTAAAGCGTCCACAAGCAATTGTGGACGCCAGACCGGCGGACTGATGGGGGGACGACAATATACGACCACATTTCAATGTGGCCGTATAAAAATTATGACCTCTACAGTGTCTACGAGTTAAAATCATGATTTTTTTGTACAATCAAGAGCCATATTCCATAAGTTATGGTCAGATACATGCCAATATCGAAAGGAACCAAGGTCTTTTGGAGATAAACCTATATTTCAAGTTTCGTCAAAATTGGATAAAAATTGTGACCTGTGGTGTGTCCACAAACAAATTGTGGACGTACGGACAGGGGTGACAACAATATACGTCCACATGAAAATGTGGGCAAATAAAAAGCATCTAGCAGAAAATGCTAATCATCGAACTCAGTCAAGCTAAGTCAAGGCATTCGCCTAATGAACAATTAACACCATGTTTGTATCCCAAATATAAAGGCTTGGGATAATAACAATCTGATAAAATACAGATCTATATTTCGTTTCGTTTTTTATACTTTTGGTTTTTATACTTTCGATGGCCTAGACTATATGAAGATATGACCAGTTGTTTTGGGAGGTCGCGTCAGAGGTGATACGAGCGGCTTTTGACCCTATGATGTCAGACATTTGATTAACCAATCAGCATTGATGTTTCTAGTGGATTACCCCCAGTTCCGTGCACCTCAAGCCAAAAGCTCGCTGTAACAGACCGTTTCATTGGCTAATCCTTCACATCATCCAGAACACATCAATGATAACAACTCTTCCAGATCCTAGTATAGTAAAGACAAGTAAAATGAAATTTTGAAATATAAAAAAACGAAATGAAATAGGATCTGTGTTTTAATCAGATTGGGGATAATGATAAACAGCTTTAACTTAACAAGTTTCTAATACTAAATTTAAATTAATTAATGATGTTTTGAGCAGTTAAAATTGGCATTATGATAAAGAAAGCAAATGTATAAGAAATGTTGAATTCTTATACATTTACTGAATATTAGCATAGCTGTAAAAGTAAAACATTTAAAATTGAGCTTTACATGTAGGTTAAATTTGACTGTGTCCTATCTATCTATAGATAAATATTAATAATCAGAATCACCGGCAATATTACTCAAAGCTTGTTAAATTTAGGTAAAAAGCTATCGATTGTGTAAAAAAATAAGGTACATTTTAGTAAAATATATTTACTGACAAATATGTTTAATCTGTTCATACATGTGTAGGGTAAAAAGCCCTAATTAAATATATCCATGAATTTATAGCAATAAGGACAAGAATATATTGTTCTATGTTTACTACACTGATCAAAATGTAAATTTTATTCTAGAATCAATACAGGGATTTCCCACAATTATACCAAAATGTAAACTTTATCTAGAATTTACATAAGGATTTCCCCAAAATTTTACCAAATGTAAATTTATTCTAGAAGTTAAACGTTTACAATGATTTTTCCCACAATTTTACCAAATGTAAACTTTACTCTAGAATTTACATAAAGGATTTCCCCAAAATTTTACCAAATGTAAATTTACCCTAGAAGTTAAACGTATACAATGATTTTCCCACAATTTTACCTTTAATCTAGAATTTATAGAAGGATTTCTCACAATTTTACAAAATGTAAACTCTAGAATTTGTACCAGCATTTTACACAATTTTTTAAAATGTAAATTTTACTCTACATGGATTTTCCACAACTTTACTTTTAGAATTATACGAATTGTAAACTTTACTTTAGAATTTATACAAGGATTTTCCACAATTATACTAACATGTATACTTTACTCAAGAATTTATACAATGATTTTCATACAATTTTACCCAAATTTATTTTTATTATTATATAATAATTAATTATGCAAGAATAAATTATCATTTACATATAAAAAGTAAAACGTCAAGTATTGAGAACATTAAACATTTCAGATAGACACATTCAGATAGAAAATGCAAAAATACAAAAATAGTACAAAATTTTTTACGCTAAATCAAGACCTAAAGAAAGAGAATATATTGAGTTTTAGTTGTAATCAGGATTTTGTGCATTACCTCAGAAAATTCTTTCTGTGGTTTATCAATGAAAATAAAAAACTAAATTTTAAAAAATAACTATCAAAATTAATTCACCTTTATCAAAAATAGAATATTTAGATATACGATATAGTTTTTACATTACTATAGAAACGATTACAGTAAACAAGCCCACAGTGAGGCTGATGTCCCCCGCCAAAATGCCAAAATAAATAAAGGACACATATTAATTAATAGCACATTTATTTTTTTTCAAAAGTATCAAGCAATCAAACTGATTATCAACTATACAGCTTTAGTTTGAAATGTTAATCATTGAACTCAGTTAAGAGATTCATCTAATGAATCTCCATCAAGGCATTGACCTAATAAAAGCCTACACCAAGTTTGAAAATTCTAGCTCAATTAGAAGGAGAATTATTGTGTTCCACAGTCTTGGCCAATCAAATTGCTTATCGCTCTGCCTACCCTTAGCAGAAAATGCTCAATATCAAACTTAATCAAGGTAATAAACTAATAAACACCTACACCAAGTTTGAACATGACAGACAGACGAAGCCATTTTAATAGTCCCCTGCTTTTTTCGAAAGGTGGGGGACAATAATCTACACAAGTCTACCCTTTGATCACACATGTGAACATACGCTATAGATACGTACAGAGCCAATCTTTACAAGATATTTCTATTGTTAATATGAGTTTTCTGGATTTGAACAGTAAATTAAGAAAATGACTAAACAGACCTAGAATAATAATTAGCGTGACTAGAATAAACAATAAATAAACAAACAATTACATACAGTCCATTCACATATAATCATATTTCAACTTCAAAATTTAAATGGACAAAGTCGTAAAAATACATTCTTTTATTTTATTCCAATTTTGGAAGTAAAAATTTACAACTTTTGTATGATATTAAATATATTTTCCCTGCCCGACAAATGTTTCATTGCCTTAATAAGAGAAATAACAAACTGACTTGATATTTTACATCTAACAACTTTAATAAAGGGGCATATTGCTATGAAAACTTATATTTGCACAAATTTAAAGGATTTCCAACTCTGTAGACAACTCAAACTTCTGTTTCTATAATTTAAGTTTTATATTTTAATGTTACATTCATGATTAATTTTTACAAAATAAATACTGAAATTATTTGAATGATTTATTTTTCAAATCAAGACACAAAATTGAATATTGATAATAAAATAGCAATATGAAATTCAATTGCTAATTTATTAAAACAAAATCTGTCACAAATCAATCGTAGTGACATCAGATAAAAAAACTTTTCTCAGCAATATGGCCTTCTGAATTAATCAATGAATGTAACATATAAATTCTCAATTCAGAAACACATTGGCATAGATACATAAATTTATGATTATACATGTCTTATCGTGTGTAATTTTTGTCAATGGTCTACATGTTGATTTTTCCAAAAATATTTCACAGTCGATTTTTGACTGCCACAGTGTTAACGACATGTGATGTACAAGAAAAAAGGACTAATTTTACACTTGTTATATAGCTTTCCGACCTTGGAATTGAGAACTTACGGTACCATATCAAATCATGTAATAAATGTTGGATTTCTACGACAAAAGATAATATTCAAAGTGACCAAAATCATTAATAGAAAAACCGTGTGATATTATTGAGCAGAATTAATCAAGGACTTTTCAGATATGTTGGATGAAACAGACAATTTATAATAACAGTAACAGCAACGTTTTGGGGTTTAACACTTTAAAATTAGAATTATTTATATTAAACATCTTTTCCCATTTATTAAAATTATTTATATTATTTGAATACATGGAAGAAGATATTTAATACATTTACCATGACAGAATGTCAAGAATTTTGATCACTTCAAAAATAACAAAATTTTGAATAAATTAGTCTCACATTGGAGATGGATATGTTACAATATGTACAAGTTTTTTTGCAAGTTTTGTAAAACAATGGAATTATTCACTGTTGCTGGCTTCACTGGGACTCGCATTCGAACTTCGTTGTTGCTGACGGCTCTGAAATGAAAAGAAAAATCATAAAGTTTGATTAAATTTGTAACTTTAAATATAGTTACCTGATGATGAAATGATTCTAAATCTAGCTTAATTGAACGAGACTTCTCTCTAGTAACAGCAATCTCTCTGTTACTAAATCTTGAAAAAGAACACGTGACATGACATTAAAATATGCCTCTTACTAAAGATTGACTTCAGAGATTGAAAAAGTATGTTTCATAAATGACAGAAATCGGAGAAAGCATAAGACAATGCAGGAAACCTGTAAATCTAAATATAGACACAGAAACACAACAATGTACCAAGTATAAATACTAAATCCCTATGACACTCAAGAAATAAAATTTAAAAAAAAACAACTGAACTAACATATTTAAGATCAGATGAAAAACTCCACAACCTAATTTAAGATAAGATGAAAAACTCCACAACCTAAACACTTTCAAAACTTGTCAAAAACTAAACAGAAAATTAACAGAAGTATAATATTATGTTAAATATGTACCATAGAAACTCTACAGATTGAAGATTTGTTGGAATGATAATTTTATGTTCCATTTAAATTAAGATGATAAATTGATTAAGTTTATGAAACAGGTCCAAAATAAGATATGGGCACCATTTCAGGAATATGATCTACCAATAACTTGAAAACTGAGATCCAATCTTGCCTGAACAGTACAGCTGTACTATCACAGTCTTGGATTTTATTTAAATTTGAAAACTTATTATTTTTAAAAATTTGTTCTTATTCATATTATTATTATGTCAATGTACAGGAAATTGGCCACAGCATTAAAATAAATTATTCTTAAAGGCATTTTGATTAATCAACACTCAAAAAACATTAGCACCAATCTCTCAGTTCATAAAGAAATATATAATTACGAAGTCGAACGGGTTGCCAACAAAATAAAAACATCAAAAATATCATTTTATAATAATAAGCTTGACGAATGTAGAAATGATAAGAAAATAATTTAAAGTTGTAACCAATCTACTCAACAAAGAAAAATCAAATCTACTTCTAGAACATAGTTCAAAAAAAGAACATGCAGAAAAATTTGTCCGCTATATTAATGATAAACTTGCTAAAATCAGACTCGATATAATTTCAAAGCCAAACACAAAAGCTGAAAATGTCAAAAACGAGTCTGTCGCATCAACCTCAACTCTGGAACGTTCAGTGAATCGGATCTGAAACCAATCATTGCGTCTGGAACATGTGAGCTCGAGATCCCTACCAATATATCTTTTGAAGAAGCATCGGAACTGTTTCTTCCAATTTTGTGTCAAATAATCAACAAATCTCTTACAACCTGTCTTTTTATCATCTTCACCAAACATGTGACTAGAATCACTGCCAAATATGGATTAGATGCACATTTATTTGCCGACGACTCGCAACTATACATCAACTTTGATTCAAAGTCTCAGTAAACATCAACGGAAGCAATAGAATCATGTCTGCAAAAATTACACCAGTGGATCACCATACACTTCCTGAAACTTAATCCAGAAAAAAACGTCTGCTTCAGATATTGATTAAGTGTTACAATCTCTCAATAGGTATATGCCACCATTATTGCATAAAATAATTCCAAAAGTTCTAAAAAGAACGGAAGTGCCTGAATGTTCGAAAACCAGAAGTCAGCCATAGCTTCAAAAGTTCTTTAGCTATTCTGAAAAGAATTATATTTTTGAATAGCCTGTCCGAGGGTCTAAAAGATGGCAGTTAAATATTTCGAAATTTTGAACCTTCAACGCTGTCAATTACGTCCGGAAATTAATAACAGGTTTGACCTACATTTTTGGATAACGAAGTCAATCCGATTCCAGTAATATATGTTTCATTCAGAATTATCGCCCTTTAATTTTCAAATTTTTTAAACCCCTTTATTCTGAAATGCCCCAATCGATGTATCTGAAACTTCTGGAACATGAAGTCATATGCCCAAACCTTTGCTTATAGCAAACTGGAGGTAGCTGAAATAATGTCTGATATTTAGAAAAAACACACAATTTGGGCATATAAAAATAAAAGTATCGATTTAATTAAATTTAATGTGTTGATTTGTTTTATGCGTTGGGTATCTGTCCATAGTGAGATATGGCTGATATCATATGGATTTTTGGCATTTTTGAACATACAATATATCTCAGAGGGAATTCATCTGATCACATAATATAACACATCATTATAGAGCCCTGCTACCAGTCAAGTGCCCAAACTTACCCCACCATGATCCGTATACCGGGAGTAGTCCAAAAAATGAAAAAAAGAACAAAAATTTGTGCTCTTGCCAAAATGTGTTTTCTACGTCAGATGTCACCAGATCAAAACAACTATAAACAAATAATGGACTATTATGACATCCAAATGATACAAATTCGATGGTTAGGAAATAAATTATGGGACGCCCAAAATCTACTATTTCCCTACTTGGATCCTATAGCGAGACTTTTATCCCAAAAACTACACTTATTTCTTTTCTGAAACTTCTGTTACTTTGAGTCCTATTGGTGGTCTAGGATGTGAATTCAAAAGTAAAAGAAAGAAATTGAAATAAGTTGTTCAAAAAGGGCCTTAAGCTTTAAAAAAAAGTCAAAAAATCGTTAAATTTCGGAAAATGCTCTTCTATTTTTCTTTTTTTTTCAAAACTGCTCAATGGATGTTTCTGAAACTTCTGGTACAGGAAGTTAAGTGCCCAAACCACTTGTTAAAACTATCCCGTAAACAGGAAGTAGTTGAAAATATATCCAACAATTTGAAAAAACCCAAATTTCTCTGTTGTATGTCACCGGATAGCTCGATGAATGGGCTATCATATGCCACTCTTCCTGCCTGCTTCCTGAAAGCCAGTTCAATACTGCTATGCAGTTCTAGTTATTATTATTATCTTATATGTCATAACAGAAGTGCAACCTTAGGTACAACTGATCTTAACATGTCTTGTTAAAGGTTTCATCTAGGTAAATATTACATAAAAAGCCAGTGAAATTATCAAAGGTAAAACAAGTCTGGTCGCTATATATCAAGGTAGAAAAATATGTACAATTTTTATGTAAAGACGGTTGTTGTTACCTAATTAAGTACATCCAAGAATAAAAGAAACCTTCATGAAGAATGGACAGAGTAATTACCATACTACTTTTTTGTTTAAGACACATGCAGAAAGAATAATTGTTCAATTTGAACAATTTTCCAGTGAAAATGGTTTATTTTAAAGATGAACAAGCCAACAGTGATGTCCCCGCCGAAATCCCAAAATAAATAGATGACACATATTAATTAATCACATTTTTTTTTTCAAAAGTATCAAGCAATCAAACCGATTATCAACTATACACCAAGTTTCATCACTCTCTATCAGATAGAATCAAAGTTATCTGGTCCCAAAGCATTGACCAATAAAATTGCTTAGCTCTGTTAAGCTTTAGCTTGAAATGTTAATCATTGAACTTAGTCAAGACATTCACCTAATGAACATCAATATCAAGTTTAAACATTCTACCTCAATTAAAAGCAGAGTTGTTATGTTTCAAAGTCTTGACCAATCAAATTGCTTATCGATCCTCAGCCTAAGCAGAATATTCTCATCATCAAACTTAGTCAAGGTAATGATATAATGAATCTATACTCGCAGTTTCATCACTTTCACTTAATTAAAACCAAAGTTATTGGCCCAAAGCATCAACCAATCAGATTGCTTATCTCTGCTTACCTTAAGCAGACAATATTTATCATCGAACTCCATCAACGCATTCACCTAATGAATGCCTACACCAAGTTTGAACATTCTACCTCAACTAGAAGGAGAGTTATTGTGTTCCAAAGTCTCGACAAATCAAATTGCTTATCGCTCTGCTTATCCTAAGCAGAAAATGCTTATTATGGAACTTAGTGAAGGTATTGATGTGATAAAACTATACACCAAGTGTCCCCACTCTCACTTAATTAGAACTAAAGTTATCGTGTCCCAAAGCTCAACCAATCAAATTCTTATCTCTGCTTACGCTAAGCAGAAAATGCTCATCTTCTAACTCCATCAATGCATTGACCTAATAAACACCTACACCAAGTTTGCACGTTCTAGCTCAATTCGAAAGAGAGAGTTATTGTGTTCCAAAGTCTCAGCCAATCCCGAGCAGAAAATGCTCATTATCGAACTTGTCAAGGTATTGATGTGATGAAACTATACACAAAGTCTCATCACTCTCACTTAATTAGAACTAAAGTTATCGTGTCCCAAAGCATCAACCAATCAAATTGCTCATCTTTGCTTACCCTAAACATAAAATGCTCATCTTCGAACTCCATCAAGGGCATTGAGCCAATAAACACGTAATTCAAGTTTGAACATGGCTAAGTGGGTAAGACACTGGCTCGCTAGCCTGGAGGTCGGGTGTTTTCGATCCCGGCATTGGCCAAGAAAATTCATCCAGATTATCCGGCGTGGTTCCCCCTTGTCAGTGATGCAGGATGGAGGGCCTGACAAGGACAGCTGTCTAGTTGTTCGGATGGGACGAAAAACCGAGGTCCCGTGTACACATTGGCGTGCCCGTAAAAGATCCCTTGACAGTTGGAATTCGATATAAGAGTAGGCCGTAGTGCCGCTGTCCGGGCAAAATTTCCCTCATAGCACACTGTATGGCGTATGCCTGTCTTCATTAGCCCAGTTCGAAGCAGAACAGTAGGACATTAAACCCCATTTCATTTCATTTCATTTCTAGCTCAATTAGAAGAAGAGTTATTGTGTCCCAAACAGTGGGATGGACAGACAGACGGACGAATCCATCTTAATAGTCCCCTGCCTTTTCAAGAATTAAAGAGCTGGTAGTTCTTGCTATAATGGTTCATAAATAGATAATGAAAAATAAATTTGTTAAAATTTCAGTTTGAAGTATTGACAAGATATAGAGTAAATAGTCCCGATTCTCAAGTACGATAATAATCAAAGTCTTGATTATCCATTTTAACTTTAAATCATTACATGGTG